TTTTCAACTGCTGTTTTTAACAGGAAATTGCGTCTGTCGTTCTCCTGTCTTTCCTAAAGCCAAACTGCATGTCGGTAAATAAATTATTTTCTTCCAAGTATGTGGTCAATCTTTGATTCATTATGCCAGTAAATAGTTTTGAGAGACAACTTGTTAATGCAATAGCTCTATAATTACCAAGATTTAATTTGTCGCCTGATTTGTGTAGTGGAACAAGAATCGTAGATTTCCAGGTTGCAGGAAATTTTCCACTATCTAGAATACAGTTGAAAAGTTTCTGTAAACATCTTATCATTAACTTATTTTTGGTTTTCAACATTTCATTGGCAATGCTGTCATCAGCAGCTGATTTATTGTTTTTTAGTTTGCTAACAGCGCTAAGAATTTCTTTGTATGTGATATTTGAGTTTAGATATTGGTTGGGAATTCACAGGGGTTTTTGTTTTATTTCCAGAGATTGTGGACCTTCTGACTTTCCCAGTGTCATTCTCTGCTTCAAATACTGGTGTGAGTCGACAGTTAAATCAATTCACTGATAAAGTTTTGTTAAAAGAAATGAAAGAAAAACATTCTTATCCAATGTAAGTGAAATTGCATCAAGCCACGCTAGTTACTGTATTGCACAGACATGATTTGAATAATATTGTCTAAATGTGTCTATTATCAGTATGCATGTCTGTTTTTTTTTTGTATTTGAATGTGGTTAAGTACATCAAATGACACACGCCATTTTCCCATACATTCCTTAACTGTTTAAGGTTACATGTACTAACGTTTGTTTTTTTTGTTAATTTGTTTCAAAATGATGCACATAAATTATACCGACTAGTTAATAACTAGTAACTATGATAAATGCAAGTTAGTACTACACATGAGTGACTAGTTAACTAGTATGACTAGTAAATAACTAGCAACTATGATGAATGCAATTTGGTACTTATGTATATTTATTTTAATATGACTAGTAAATAACCAGTAGCAATAATGAATACAAGTTTGTACTACACTTAACTAGTTATACTGGTTCGATTAGTAAATAACTAGTTATACTAGTATGATTAGTAAATAACTAGTTATACTGGTATGATTAGTAAATATCTAGTTATACTGGTATGATTAGTAAATAACTAGTTATGCTGGTAGGATTAGTAAATAACTAGTTATGCTGGTATGATTAGTAAATAACTAGTTATACTGGTATGATTAGTAAATAACTAGTTATACTGGTAGGATTAGTAAATAACTGGTTATACTGGTATGATTAGTAAATAACTGGTTATGCTGGTATGATTAGTAAATAACTAGTTATACAGGCAGGATTAGTAAATAACTATTAATACTGGTATGATTAGTAAATAACTAGTTATACTGGTAGGATTAGTAAATAACTAGTTATACTGGTAGGATTAGTAAATAACTAGTTATACTGGTAGGATTAGTAAATAACTAGTAATTAGGATCAGTGCACAATATACTTAGTAACACTGGTATATATTTGATTTTCAATAATTCTTTAGTTATCTGATTTATTGTATTTGCTATTTCTGTAATTTTATTATATGCTTCTGTAAATCATGGTAAACCATCAACATCATAACTTTTACTCATATTCATGACATGTTTTATTGTTTTTATCGCTTTACATACAAATATTTTATTTTATTCTAGGTTCACTTTTACTACATGGATTTATTTAATTGATTATTGTCATTCCTCATTGTGCAGTATTATCCACCATAAATCACTCTATGACAATCAGTATTTAACTCCTTTATTGCTGATCACTAAGGATGGTAAGTTGAAAATATTAACCATCTTGACCAGTATTTAACTCTTTATTGCTGATCACTAAGGATGGTAAGTTGAAAATATTAACCATCTTGACCAGTATTCAACTCTTTATTGCTGATCACTAGAGATGGTAAGTTGAAAATATTAACCATCTTGACCAGTATTCAACTCTTTATTGCTGATCACTAAGGATGGTAAGTTGAAAATATT